TGGGGGACAATGATACCAGGACACATCAAGGGACCATGCCACCAGGACACACATGGGGACAATGACACCAGGACACATCAAGGGACAATGTCACCAGGACAGATGTGAAAGGACGATGTCACCAGGACACACATGGGGGACAATGATACCAGGACACATCAAGGGACCATGCCACCAGGACACACATGGGGACAATGACACCAGGACACATCAAGGGACGATGTCACCAGGACACGTGTGGAGACAATGACACCAGGACACGCGTGGGGGGACAATGTCACCATGAAACATCAAGGGACGATGTCACCAGGACACGTGTGGGGACAATGCCACCAGGACACATCAAGGGATGATGTCACCAGGACAGATGTGAAAGGACGGTGTTACCAGGACACACATGGGGGACAACGTCACCAGGACACATCAAGGGACGATGTCACCAGGACACATGTGAAGGATCATGTCACAAGGACACATGTAGGGGATGATGTCACCAGGACATGCATGGGGGACAATGACACCAGGACACATCAAGGGACGATGTCACCAGGACACATGTGAAGGATCACGTCACCAGGACACATGTAGGGGATGATGTCACCAGGACACATCAAGGGATGATGTGATGATATCACCATGACCCACGTGAAGGATCATGTCACCAGGACACACGTGGGGGATGACGCCACCAGCACACATCAAGGGATGATGTCACCAGGATAGATGTCAAAGGATGATGTCACCAGGACACATGTGAAGGACGATGTCACCAGGACACACATGGGGACAATGTCACCAGGACCCATCAAGGGATGATGCCACCAGGACACACGTGGGGACAATGTCACCAGGACACATCAAGGGACGATGTCACCAGGACATGCGTGGGGGACAATGATACCAGGACACATCAAGGGACCATGCCACCAGGACACACATGGGGACAATGACACCAGGACACACGTGGGGGAACGATGCCACCAGGACACGTGTGGGGGGACAATGTACCATGACACATGTGAAGGACAATGCCACCAGGACACATCAAGGGACAATGTCACCAGGACAGATGTGAAAGGACGATGTCACCAGGACACACATGGGGGACAACGTCACCAGGACACACCAAGGGATGATGTCACCAGGACATGCGTGGGGGACGATGCCACTGGGACACATCAAGGGACGATGTCACCAGGACAGATGTGAAAGGATGATGTCACCAGGACACACCAAGGGGCGATGTCACCAGGACATGTGTGGGGAGAATGTCACCAGGACACATCAAGGGATGATGTCACCAGGACACGCGTGGGGGATGACGCCACCAGGACACGCATGGGGGACAATGCCACCAGGACACATGTGAAGGACGATGTCACCAGGACACACGTGAAAGATGATGCCACCAGGACACACATGGGGACAATGACACAGGATAGATATCAAAGGATGCCACCAGGAGGTGCATGATGCCACCGCGCGGCAGGGCCACGTGACAGCGCCGGGCCATGTCCCCCCCCCCCCCCCCCCCCCCAACCCCCTCCCCCCCCTCTCGCCGAGCCTGCCTCCCACTCATGGGCCTCCCAGCCCCAACCTTCTCCTGGCAAAGAGCTTCCCACCACGGCCGAGCCTTGCCCGGTCCCTGCGTTGGGCATCTCCTGGGTTCCAGCTCTCTCCAACACACGGACATGTCACCCGTATTTTTAGGGTATAATTTCGATGGATGTTACGTAAACTAATCCATGCTAAGGCAAACGAGAGGTCTAAGCAGCTGAAGAAGGCCCGGAAGTCATGAGGACCATAACACTGCAATATCCCACGTGTTAATGCGCCTTAACAATGAATTATATGTTTTATTTAAATCAATAAAATACTGTGTAAGCCCAATAAGGGCAAGAAAGCCAATTAATGCTTCTTTCTGGATACTTCACCTTGAAGGATGCTAAGGAGGTTTGGCCAAAGACCGTGACACCCTCCAAGCTGAGAACACAGCCAGTCATAGAATCATAAAATCATAGAATCATGGAATGGTTTGGGTTGGAGAAGCCCTTTAAGCTCCCCCAGCCCAAGCGTTCCCCTACCCCTGCCATCCCACCCCCAAACCCCGGCCCTCAGCACCGCCTCTGCCCAGCTGTTA